TGCTTCTGATGAATTTTATTTGACCTGTGTTTAAACTGTAAAAAAAGAGCGTACCAGTCAGGAGAGCTCCCGCCTGCAAGGGGTCTGGGGAAGGGTGTCAGTGGCAAGCCTTACCCTCGCCTGTGCAATGCGAGGAGACCGTGACTCGAACCTGGGACCTTCCGGTCACAGGCGGTAAGACTCTACCGCTTGCACCAGGTCCGCCCTTCTTGTGTTTAAACTGTCTTGTCATTAAAACAATATATAGGTAATCAACATTGCTAAAAATCCATTTGATCGTTGTGCGCCTGAACTGGTCTTGTTAACTGTTCATTTGGTTTTTATTCAAATCTTCCAGTTTTAGATTTGAGCTTGAATTACCTTTTCAAGGCCTTCTTGGATGGTCGAAATTTGGACCCAAATCTTTGACTAAGTAAAAGAACTCCAAATCGATCCCCTTATAAAAGTTCCTCTTAGGATAATTTAAATTGAAATCAATGATCTTTACTGAACCCCTTTAAAATTGTCATTGTATCAGTTTTGTAAATAATAATGATTCTTAAGTGGGGGCTCTTGTTAGGATACCCAAACTCCTGTTTGCTTCTTTTGCACTGTTATTTTCTTCTCAATATGTGTAACTATGTAAGAGCTGCTGCGTCACATGAATCCCCTAGCTTTATCTTGTTGCTTATTTGAAGAGCTATTTGGTAGCTATAATCCCATGTGTGTGTGTGTGCGCGCACGCACATGTATCCAGGTTTGCATGTGTCCAGGTTCATTTTATTTTGGTGCAGTGTTTAATACTAGCAGATTTTTAGCTAGTTGTTAAGGAGAATAATAGGCAATCATAGTAGTTATGACTGCATCAATTAGGAGGATTTCATGGGCAGGTGTATAGCTCTATATCAGCTATATAATGGTGATTGCTTGTGTGGCTGCATCAACCAAATACTTGTGCTGTTTATACTCTGTGTGTCCACCAGAGAAACAAAGAGCTACTGTGTGTTTCGTTTGTGATAAACACTCAAGAGAGGGAGTGTTTTTCAACATTATCAATTAGCATCTTATCTTTACTAAAGCATGCTAATAGTATGTGGGAGGAACTTGACTTAGAATTTGTTGTTTATTAACCACTCTTGTTGTGAATTATCCTTCTTGAAGCATTATGGTAGTATTGTTAGGCTGTGCCATAGTTTTTTCTTCATTAAAAGTTTGCATGCCCCTTACAGACTTGCATGCTACATCTCTAAATTGCTAGTGTATCTGTCAAGGACCTGCCTTCGTGCAACAGAATTTCTGTCTTGGTCAAACGTTCTTTATGTTTGTAACTTTGTATGTACACCATACATGACTGAATTGTATACCTAATCTGAGGCAGTGCATGTTAAAATCTCTAGTGTCTAGTCCACAATCATTTGTACCTTTTTGGCTATGTTGTGTCCATTTCTTTTTTTACTTATAATATATATGCACGATTATGCCCAAAAAATGTTTTTGGACATAGATCCATTCTCTTCTGTTGTACATTTTTATGTAACCTTAACTGTTGGGTTTTATTTTTCAGAGGAGTTTCTTTCGGTTTATGTTGGGAATCTTTCGCCATCTACTTCGGTCTTTGATCTTGAGAAAGTGTTCCAGGCTTTTGGAAGAATTAAACCTGATGGAGTTGCTATCCGAAGCCGCAAGGTTTTGCCTTTTATTAAATGCTTTGATATTTACTTTTCTTCATTGTTGCCTTCCTAATTCATCTACTGATATGCAGGAGGCTGGAGTCTTCTTTGGCTTTGTTGAGTTCGAAGACATGTCTGGTATTCAGAATGCTTTAAGTGTAAGTTTCCCTTAGCATGTAGGCTTCTGTAATCTGCAATGTATCATAATCAATACATCTAGGTCATAGTCAGAAAACCTACTAAAAAGGAATTAAATGAATGTGGAAACGCTTAGTAATGAACTATTTGGCATAGTAGTGTTTGCCTACTCTAAGCATGATGGACGGCACACCAACCATGTTCTGCCAAAGTAGAAACATACACCACTGCAGGTCTTTAATAATTTTAAAATATAAAAGGAGATATAGATTGATATGCCAATGAAATTTCTACTGCTATAGTGAGTCCCATGTGTTGACAAAATCTACCGGGTGAAGTTTTTTGATCGACCACTGCATTGCATGTTTTTTTATATACAAATGTAATTCATGCATTTTCATTCGCTTAATAATCTAGGTTTACACCCATAAGCCACAGTTAGATATTCACAGGAGAAAGAAAAAAATAATACCATCTACATCATGCCACAGTTTCCCATAATGCTGTCTTATCTGGTCAATTTTTTGTACATTAGGCATCTCCAATAGAGTTAAATGGCCGTTTTGTACATGTTGAAGAGAGGAGGCCTAACTGCGGAATCCCTCGTGGAAGTAAGTATCCACTCAGGACCATCTCCATATGATTATGCAGACTTTCTTCAACCATCCTTGTCCAAGTAGTTGGCATAGAACGTTCTGTATTGATAGTTTAAGACAGACATGAAAAAGCAGGGTTACTTTAACTGAATTTGGGCTTGCTATTAGACTGGTTATCAACTAGAGGAGGCATGCTTGACTTATATCCAATGTGATAATCATTTCCCTACATTAGCTGCAACCAAAAGAAAAAAAAGAGTTCACTAATTGTCTCTGGTTCCTGTGTTTTTTCTCTTTTATTAGAGTTGGTAATAATAATTGTAATTCCTTGCTCTGCAGGAAGAGGCCGTGGAAGAGCTGATTTCTCAAGGGGCCAAGCTGGTGGGAGATACGACGGGGAGTATGCTACTCGATCGAAGGGAACTGGGCACCAGAAAAAAACTGGACGCCAGTATGACAGTTACTACTAGTTTCGTACCTGCTCTGCTGGTAAATGGCCGTGTACCATTGGCGTTCTCTACCTGGTGCTGTTCTGGCCATAGTTTTGCTGAAAGTCACAATGATGTCGAGGCTAGTATTTCTGCTTTGCTGACATTGGGCAGCTTCTTTTTTGGGGATGGGCTTCTGTTACTATTTTGTTGCGTCACAGTAGTTTTTGGTCCTCAGCTACCGTGATGCTACCATTGGAGTGAAGTTTTGGAACGTCAAACTTTTCAAGTAATTCCTAGGTTGTACCGATGTTAATAGTTGGTCTTCTTATATTGGCATAGTCTGCATACTTCGTACTATTCACTTGGTGGCGTATTTTCATACCGATGTTAATAGTTGGTCTTCTTACTATACTTCTAACTGCTGGTGGTGCGGGGAGTGTTGTTGCAATGTTGGGGGACTTGGCTTACAGAAAACCTCAGGGTTACTCTGGCGAATCCCATGGCGTCGGTGGAGGTTGTCTAACAGAATAACAGATTGGTGGCAAAGAAGAGGTGATTTCTAGACTTTCGGTATGGTCATGCGGTCTATTTTGCCAAATCACTCACCACCGGCATATGATCCCATTAGGGCTAAAGATGGCAACGGCCCCCCGATACCCGATGGGTATTTTATCTATTAGGAGACGGGGATGGGATCATATCTTTATCTGCGGACATCTAAATGGGCAAGAATCCATCCTCGACGGGTATAGCGGGTACGGGAACGTTCCTTGTTTACCTGTCCTCGTTATCCGTGGGAAACCCGACTATTTGAGCTGTCATGCGAGTATTAGGCTCAAAGAAGCTCAACATAGATATTTTGGGCCAAATCTAAACAATTATATATATAGTTTGTATATTCTAGTAACCCTAGTTCAATTTTTCTTCACTATCTCCGCCAGCAGCACAAGCACGCCTGCCTCACGAGCGCTCGTGCCCCTCGCTTCCTCAATTCGGTCTCTCTGCCACCTTTGCTCGTTCTCCTCGCTCCTTCTCCTCGGCATCTCCGAGACTCCGACACTTATACCTGGGTGAAGAAGAAACGTCTTCGATTGCAAAGCTGCGACCCCAAGTGTCCTGGTTTATCGGCTATGCAGTACCCGTCGCGTATCTGTTACCCGACCGATGCCCGACGGGTACGGGGATGGACAAGAATCTATACCCAAGACAGTTAACGGGGACGGGGACAGGATGAATTCTCTGTAGTGGGGAAGAGAACGTTCTGACGATACCCGACCGGCCAGTACATCCCCGTTGCCATCTTTAATTAGGGCGTTAGTAGCTGCTAGCTCCCAACACTATCTGCGCCGGTACCTGCAGGCTACCGAGTTCATATCGTTCACTTCGCAATGCGGCTTCATTCATGATGCCAGTTTACCTGTGATTCAAATGGACGTGCTATCTGCGCCGGTACCTGCAGGCTACTGAGTTCATTATCGTTCAAGCTTCAACCATGATGCTATATGCGCGGGTACCTGCGGGCTACCGAGTTCACTATCGTTCAAGCTTCATCCATGATGTCAGTTTACCTGGCATTCAACTGGACGTCTTGCAGAGACGCAGAAATGAGAGGCCCTGTGGATGTGATTCTCTGACCACCAACCAAGCGGTCATCCTCCGTTGCCTAAACTCCAAACTCCAAAGGCAGCACAATATGAGAGGCCAAGACGTTGTCTTTGGTTTAGCAAGTGTTTCTATTGTCAAAAGGTAGAATGTCAACTAAGGTACAACTGAAAGCCGCTTTTTCAGAGCTACGTTCGCGCCGTATAATTTTCACAGCATCGTGGATCCTACTTTTGATTTTTGGCTTTTAGCTTTTAGCTTTTCCAAGTAGATGGAAAGAGAGACTCTACAACTATTTCAAAGGAGATAAAAAGAAGATAAAAAGAGAGGGTAATTTTTATAGTTTTTAAACCGAATAGCTTATAACTTATTTAGGAATATAGCTTGTAAAAGCTTTTCCACATCTCATTGCTCGCAAGAAGCTAAACTAAACAAGCTAAACAGAGCTTGTATACAACTTTACATGGCTAGCTTGTCGCCTTCAAATGCTCCAAATGCTGCCTTTATTCATTTTGCCGACTCGTTCAAACGTTATGCATGTGACACCACATCGCTAGCACGCCTGCACTTTCCGAATGGGAGGATCAGACGGCCGCAGACGCCAGCTCCATCGCTTGCCCTGTTCGCGCGGCGCGCTCCGGTGCCGCCGCTCCACCCGTGCCTTGGTCTCTGCAGTCGTCGTCGTCCTGCTCCCACAAGAAGCTCGCGTACGCAGCGAGGACATGGCTGCAAGAGTGACAAACCAACGTTAGGTACCCCTCGAGTTTAGGAACAGGAAAATCGAAATATTCATGGATGTCCACTAGAGTCCAAACTGAGAGGCTTACCTATCGTGTGGGGCAGCCTGCACCGACTTTTGGAAGTAGCCGAGGCATCTCTCCGGGTCGTGGTGCACCTCCCAGACCAGCTTGGCGTACTGCGACATGATCTCGCCGTCGCTGGGATCCGTCAGCATGGCGCGCGAGTAGTACTCCTCGGCCCTACTGGTGTCGCCCTTCACCTGCAGGCAGCACCAGCAGCACAGCAAAAGGGTTGGTCCAGTCAAAAGTTAAACGTCACTACAGAGTACAGACACATGACATCTTTCTTGGCAACCGAATGAATATACCTCGTGGAGGGACTGCGCGTAGTTGCGCAGGAACAGCGCGTTGCCGGGCTGCTCGTCGACCATCGTCTTGTACTGCGCGTCCAGCGCGGCCACCACCTCGTCCCGCTCCTCCACGCGCTCCATGTTGGCTCCACAGCCAGTCTTGTCGGCGCCAGCGGTGAAGATGCCCGAGGCGATGCGGTCGATCCCGAGGCCCCTCGCCAGCGGCACCTCCGAGTGGTCCGGCTGCACCGCCGTCGCCTGCTGCTGACCCTCTGGTCTCCACCAGTTGGTCCAATGGTTAATTGGGTCCTTGATCCGCGTCCTGATCGGGGACGTCTAGTTTTTCTCCTGGCTGATGGCCCCCCGTCGCGCAGTGCTATAAAGGGGAAGATGGAGGCCGGGCGCAAGGTATGAGGTTCACCGTAACCGCCAGCGCCCCACCGAGGTTCTTAGCCCTAGTCCGATAGAATGGCGTGCTGTAAGCGACGGGAAGCCCACACCGTCTTCACCGTCGCCAGTGGTCCGCGCCTACGCTGTTGCTACCGTTGACGACCTAGCGGGTGCCCGCACGGCTTCCCCTACACCGACACGCCGCGGCCACCTTGTTGGCGGCGCCACAGCCACGACTGCACTCAACGAGGTACATTACCAAGTCTGCTTATCTAAGTTAAGAATTTTCCTACTGATCTGCACCTAGAGGTCCTACAAGTCTATCAATGGTATGAGAGTCATGGTCCTAGTGTGTAGATCTAGCAGATTAGGGTAGAAAACAGAATAGAAATCAAGAATCAAGTGATTCAAATCGGATCGGAACCCAAACCCTAACCTTAACCCTCACCCTAGAAGAGAGGTCTGCGAGGGGAGAGACCTACCCGGGTTCTCCTCACCGCCAGCGGTACCGTCGTCGTGCGGGAAGACCGCGCGCGTTGGAAGAGAGCCACCGCCTCGCCGGCGCTCTGCGGCGATGCGTACACGTGTGCAGGGCGCAAAGAGCACCACCGCTGTCCCGCTCGACGGCGCCGCGCACAGCTTCGGCCGCACGCGTGCACCGGCGAAAGGGCGCCACGACGGTGCCGCCACCTCCTGCGTCGCATCCGCCCTTCAGATCTCGGGTGAGGCAGCTATGGTGTGTGGCGAAGAGAGGGATAGATCTAGGGTTAGCGCATATGGGAGACTAGGGCACCGTTGCCTAGACCACTCGACGGCGGCGCACTCAGCCTCGGGCGAGCGTGCACGCCGGTGAGGGGACCAGCGGCGGCGCCGCTACACCGCTGCTCCTTTCGTTTCTGGCTGCAGTGGTGAAAGAGAAGAAGAAAGGTAGAAATGAGTTAAGGTTAGGGCGCACCGCCGAGGCGACCGGGTTTTGATCTTGCGAAAATGAAGGCTGACCGTCGGATGAAAATGAATGGCTCAGAGAGATTCAAGCCGAAAGCATCCCAGACGGGGTTGGAAAATCCCGGTCTAAGCCTAGGTTGCGGCATGGGCGCGCGGGCGAAGCAGGCCGTTGGGCCGCCGCTGAGCCGCGCGCGCAAATGCGCAGAGAAATGGGGCGTGCATTGTTTCCCTGGGCCGGGCCGAATGCACAGTAATGAGTGGGAATTTGTTTATTATTTTCAGAAGCGAATTTTGATGAATTTTGATTATTTTTTTTATCTCTATTCAATTTTGAACCAACGGGATAAATTGTTTAGAGAGTAGATAAGTACACAATAAAATGCTTCTAAAAAGTAGATAAATTATTTTTCATGTTTCCGCTGCAAAGTTTAATGCTGATTATCTTCTAATTAAATTCGAATCAACATGATAATTTGATTTAAAGAGCAGTTATTTTTAGTAAATTATGATTATATTTATTCTCTAATTAAATTGGAACTAACGAAAAAAAATTTAAATTAGACGACTAGTCCGATTTATTTATGTTAAATTATGGTATTGTTATGTTCTAACCAATATTGATGATAACAATATTATAATGAGTTTAAGGTTGAAGTTTAAATCTCTGATAAATTTTACACCAACATGGTCAATTTTTCAGAGAGTAGATAAAGACCAAGAAATATTCCTGACCTAATATAATGTATTTTATTATCGTGTTTCAGTGCAATGATGTTGATTATCTTCTAATTAAATTTAAACCAACGGGAGAATTTAATTTTGAAGAGTAGTTATATGTCTTTCAAGTTAATTTATGAGTTTTATGCATTAATTCTATTTTCTACCCAACGGTGATATAGAATTGATGCAGAAGCATCTTGTAAGTTTTATTTTTTAACCGACGAGATCACTCGGTTGCATGCCAACGGGCTACAATGCTGGAGTATGTGAATGAACTGGCTTTGAAAAGGCTTGAGTTAAGCCAGTTCATGATAGTTTTTTTGTTAGTTTACTAATTTTCTGATTAAATTAGAACCAACGGAAAGATTTAATTGAAAAATAAAGTATAAGTGAATGTTTTAGTCATCATGACTAAATTTTTCATTACGGTAATCTGTATATAGATTTATTCCGCATGGGGAGAAGTTTGGCATAGTACTTATGCTAGTTAATCCTACCTGGCAGGAGAAGTTTTGAGATAACTCATATGTTTTTTATCCCGCATAGCGAGACAAGTTTGGGTAGCTCTTATGCTATTCTAGTATTGACCATGGCACCATAGAAATGCACCATCATGGTCAATACTAATCAAAGGATAAGAAAAAGATGCAAGCATGACTTGCAAAAGTACAGCTAATAAAAGACCTCATCGTGTTCTTGAAGTGGAATGAGAAAAGTTTACTCATATATGGATCAAGAAATAACTTTATTTGCATGGCATAATCATGTGAATGAAGTAAGTCATAAGTGTCTCCTCGTTCACACTTTTCTGAATAGTTCTCGAAATTATGGCAGTATAGTTCATACCATATTTCGAGGGGGAGAATTGTGAGAAGAATTAAGAGTAAGAATTAAGATCAATTAAGAAACTACTCTTCATTAAGAGTGAGATAAAGATATTGATGAATGTGTACTCTTCATTAAGAGTGAGATACATATTTTGTAAGAAACTGAGTGAGATAAAGATTTTGATAAATGTGACTGTCGATGCAGAAAGTGACCAACAAGTAAATATTTATAGTTTTGTCGTACGTTGTGATTGGAGGTGGCCTAGCACTCAATGACACATGGTTTATACTAGTTCAGGCAACGTGCCCTACGTCTAGTTCGAGTCGGTCGGTGACTTTATTCCTGAGCCCAGGTGCTCGAAGTTTGCAGTGGGGTTACAAATGAGAAAGATAAAGATGGGGGTACAAGAGGTCCGGTCAGACTCCGGTCGGAAGGGCCGAGAGTGACAAGAGCTCCGCTATGAGCTAAGTGTTCGAGCATGTGCTCGTGGTTTGAACCTGATGGTTCTGCTATTGTGTGCTAGTGAACTTGATCGATCTAATGAATCTGGAATGACCTGAATCTACCTCCCTAGAGTGAGGGGGCACGGGTGCTCCGGTCGGGATGACTCCGCCCCCGACTGAAGTGAGGGGGCGCGGGTCGCAGCCTAGGAACGGTCCTCGCCCTGCGGGCCCATCGATGCCAGGTCTTGGCTTCAGAGTCGTGCCGCTTACCTCCCGGTATATTTTTCTTTGTTTCTTTTTGATCTTGTTGTTGAGTCTTTTTTGGAGTATGACTGACCCGTACTCTTTGTCAGCGGCCGGGCGATGACAGGGTTGAGTATTGCCCCAACTCCTGTGCAGGAGGTTTGGAGGCCCACCCTGCAGCGCGCCGCGGCGAGCGGCGGGGGGAATAGGGTGGTGGCGACGAACCCTTCCCTTCTAGGGGTGGTGCTCCCCGGGTCGGTTGCTGGTACGGTGACAGCGGCGGCGACGGTGCTGGCGGCGATCCCGATGGTGACCATGAAGGCTTCGCCGGTGGTGTCCCTTGTGGCCCCTCCTCCACCAGCTGCGGCACAAGAGGAAAAGGAGATCGAGCCCCCTGCCTCACCGGGCGAAGGGCTGCACAGCTCACCCTCGTGGTCGGAGCTGAAAACACTGGGGGGAAACGTGGCCGGGATGGAGTCGGAACGCCCGTCGGTGGCTCGTGCAACCGATGTGGTGGAGATCCCATCCGATGGCGAAGCGGATGACGCGGTGGAGCTGCCGGTGCCATCGCGGGAGTTGGCGGTGGATCGGTCGGAGGCTGGGCCCTCCGACGGGCTGTCGGAGGGTGATTTGGAGTGGCCCTGCCCTGAGGACCCTGTCAAAGGTGTGGTTCATCCTTTGGGATTCCCAGGAGTGTCAGCTCTGGGATATCCTTGTGGGGAAAGGACTTGCCATGGAGTTTGAACTCACCAACCTGTTGGGGAAGCTCAAGGACGCACATGAGCGGGTTAAGTCCGCCCAGCAGTTGGTCAAGGTCGACCTACAGCTCACCGCGGAGGTGAGTTTCCCATATTTGTCCTTGACCTCTGAGTCTCTTGTTGGTTGCCTCAGCATGCTTGCTTTTGGTTTTCGTAGGTGTAACACCCCGGTGTTACGATCTTATTTAGCGTCGCGATTTAGGTCTAAGTAAAACTTTCGAAACGAGTTTCTTTAATTTTTTATTTAAAACATACGTGAAGCGATAGCGAATCCCGGGTGACTTAGTTTGATGGACTCAGATAAACGCTCAAGTTAAACTACGTCGGGCGTAGGAAAATTTACGAATGTCCGACGACGATTCTAGCAAACGGTTTGTTATATCAGATTAAGCATAAGAAACAACTTTTATAAATAAAATAAAATCCATTAATAAATAGAACGATATATATATTCATAGCACTGGTCTAGTGACATGTTCGTTTTAGCCCTATGTAAGTTGGTAACGTAAATGTAACCGCGACAGCTACCCGCCTGGCCACTTTATACAATTACGTGGTTGGTGTGAAACAAGTTATAGACGTGAGATAGCTTAGCAATCGTCATTTACTTTTCTGGCGTGTTTTCAGCTAGTCGCCTTGCTTTGTAATTAGGCACAGTCTCGTGTCCCGTCGTGGCTCGGTCGTGTCCTCGCGCGCTCTGCACCCGGCGTGGCCATTTGCCTGAGCCATGTCCTTGTCTGTTTGTCCAACCGGACCACGTGCTTGCGGTCGCCCTCGGTTGGACTATTTTGTATTCACCTGGCGAGCTAGCTCA